CACGGGGACACAGGTGTCACCCAAACACGGAGACACAAGGGTCACCTGGGCACGGGCGTGGGTGCCACCAGGGTTCCTCACACCAGGAATGTCCCCAGTGTCACGTGGGCTGCTCACACCAGGGATGTCCTTGATGCCACCGGGGTTCCTCACACCAGGGATGTCCCTGATGCCACCTGGGTTCTTGAGACCAGGGATGTCCCCAGTGTCACATGGGCTCTTCAAACCAAGGATGTCCCTGAGGCCACCTGGACTCCTCAAACCCAGGGATGTTCCCGATACCACCTGGGTTCTGGAGACCAGGGATGTCCCTGATGCCACCTGGGCTCCTCAAACCCAGGATGTCCCTAATGCCACCTGGGCTCCTCAAACCCAGGATGTCCCTAATGCCACCTGGGCTCCTCAAACCCAGGATGTCCCTAATGCCACCTGGGCTCCTCAAACCCAGGATGTCCCTAATGCCACCTGGGCTCCTCAAACCCAGGATGTCCCTAATGCCACCTGGGCTCCTCAAACCCAGGATGTCCCTAATGCCACCTGGGCTCCTCAAACCCAGGATGTCCCTAATGCCACCTGGGCTCCTCAAACCCAGGATGTCCCTAATGCCACCTGGGCTCCTCAAACCCAGGATGTCCCTAATGCCACCTGGGCTCCTCAAACCCAGGATGTCCCTAATGCCACCTGGGCTCCTCAAACCCAGGATGTCCCTAATGCCACCTGGGCTCCTCAAACCCAGGATGTCCCTAATGCCACCTGGGCTCCTCAAACCCAGGATGTCCCTAATGCCACCTGGGCTCCTCAAACCCAGGATGTCCCTAATGCCACCTGGGCTCCTCAAACCCAGGATGTCCCTAATGCCACCTGGGCTCCTCAAACCCAGGATGTCCCTAATGCCACCTGGGCTCCTCAAACCCAGGATGTCCCTAATGCCACCTGGGCTCCTCAAACCCAGGATGTCCCTAATGCCACCTGGGCTCCTCAAACCCAGGATGTCCCTAATGCCACCTGGGCTCCTCAAACCCAGGATGTCCCTAATGCCACCTGGGCTCCTCAAACCCAGGATGTCCCTAATGCCACCTGGGCTCCTCAAACCCAGGATGTCCCTAATGCCACCTGGGCTCCTCAAACCCAGGATGTCCCTAATGCCACCTGGGCTCCTCAAACCCAGGATGTCCCTAATGCCACCTGGGCTCCTCAAACCCAGGATGTCCCTAATGCCACCTGGGCTCCTCAAACCCAGGATGTCCCTAATGCCACCTGGGCTCCTCAAACCCAGGATGTCCCTAATGCCACCTGGGCTCCTCAAACCCAGGATGTCCCTAATGCCACCTGGGCTCCTCAAACCCAGGATGTCCCTAATGCCACCTGGGCTCCTCAAACCCAGGATGTCCCTAATGCCACCTGGGCTCCTCAAACCCAGGATGTCCCTAATGCCACCTGGGCTCCTCAAACCCAGGATGTCCCTAATGCCACCTGGGCTCCTCAAACCCAGGATGTCCCTAATGCCACCTGGGCTCCTCAAACCCAGGATGTCCCTAATGCCACCTGGGCTCCTCAAACCCAGGATGTCCCTAATGCCACCTGGGCTCCTCAAACCCAGGATGTCCCTAATGCCACCTGGGCTCCTCAAACCCAGGATGTCCCTAATGCCACCTGGGCTCCTCAAACCCAGGATGTCCCTAATGCCACCTGGGCTCCTCAAACCCAGGATGTCCCTAATGCCACCTGGGCTCCTCAAACCCAGGATGTCCCTAATGCCACCTGGGCTCCTCAAACCCAGGATGTCCCTAATGCCACCTGGGCTCCTCAAACCCAGGATGTCCCTAATGCCACCTGGGCTCCTCAAACCCAGGATGTCCCTAATGCCACCTGGGCTCCTCAAACCCAGGATGTCCCTAATGCCACCTGGGCTCCTCAAACCCAGGATGTCCCTAATGCCACCTGGGCTCCTCAAACCCAGGATGTCCCTAATGCCACCTGGGCTCCTCAAACCCAGGATGTCCCTAATGCCACCTGGGCTCCTCAAACCCAGGATGTCCCTAATGCCACCTGGGCTCCTCAAACCCAGGATGTCCCTAATGCCACCTGGGCTCCTCAAACCCAGGATGTCCCTAATGCCACCTGGGCTCCTCAAACCAAGGACGTCCCCGATGCCACCTGGGTTCTTCATCCCAAGGATGTCCCTGATGTGACCTGGGCTCCTCACCCGTGGGCCGTCCCCGCGGCTCCTGAGCGTGTCCCCTCGTGTCCCCAGATCACGGCCACCTTCTGGCAGACGTGGAAGGCATTCGAGGTGCGGCACGGCAACGAGGACACCATCCGGGAGCTGCTGCGGGTGCGCCGCAGCGTCCAGGCCACCTACAACACCCAGGTCAACTTCATGGCCTCGCAGATGCTCAAGGTCTACAGCAACGCCACGGG